GCCTTTCTATCAGCTGGAACCAGTCTGGCCATTCTCCTCTCACCTCAAAGTCATTTAAATCACCTTTCTTCCCCGTTCTGATGCTCAGTTTGAACGTCAGCAGATCGTCTTGACCACGTCTACATGCCTAAATGCATTGAGTTGCTGCCATGTGATTGGCTGATTAGAAATGTATGTTAACGAGCCTTCTTACTGGGTTCTGCTGCCTGCTAACAGAAGTGAACAGGTTCTGCTGCAGTTCAACCCACTGCCAATGGGAACAGTGGGGGTAAACCAGCACATCAGATAGGTGGAGACATTCTGACCCACCCTGCAAGGTCTGATGATCATCGTCTCTGGGTTTATTTCTCTACTGACTCACAATTGTTCATCTTTAATTTATCAGTTTCCAGTATTCCTATTTTAATCACATACATATGTAAACACAGTCCTAATCAATTAGTTACCATGCCAACCACTGACTGACATCCAGCTTTATGAGCGTGCTCACGAGAATTTCACATCTTGTCTTTTTCCTTCCTTGTGGGATAAACTGGTCTCGCATTATTGGCCTTCAACCCTCCGTCTCGAGGCTTCCTAGAAATAAACTCAGACCATTAAAAGACTTGCATCTAATACTGCCCTAAAAATAAAAGCAAACAAGCTGTTAGGCCAAGAACAAAAGGAACTGCCTAATATAACACTGCTTATTAGTGAGATGAGAAAAATCTCATTTGAGAAACTGTTCAGATGCCTGCTTCAGATAGTTTCTGTTTTTTTCAAGAAAGAAATTATATTTAAAAGCTAAGAACAGTCTGAGTTGGCTGAAGTTTTCTATCTATCTGCACCTCAGAGACATAATGAACAAACTGGGAACACAGAACCTCAGAGCATGAGGCATGTTCTGATGTTCTATGGGCCCGGTGTATAAATGGAAACACTTTAAATGTGGCTCAGCAGTGAGAGCTGGAAGTGGTCACCTGCTATCTTTTCTTGAAAAATACATATTTAATGTATTAATTATTTAATATGATCAAGTGCAAAAATAGCTCTTTGGACTGTAAAGGTTGCTGATCCCTGGACTAGGCCGTTCTAACACATGAATCAGCTTTCAGTATCTCTGGCTGTATGTTCAGGATGATTGTCCTGCTAGAAGCTGAACCTCCACACCAGCCTCAGGTCTTCTGCAGCCTCCAACAGGTTTTCCTTCAGGATTGCCCTGGATTTAGCTCCATCCATCTTCCCATCAACTCTGACCAGGTTCCCTCTGCTGAAGAAAATCAGTCCCATATCATGATGCTGCCACTAACATGTTTCACCATGGGGGTCTTTTTGTTGATGGGGACTTTTAGTTTACCTCCATACACGCTCTGCATGTAGGTACGAATTTAATTCTGGTCTCATCGGACCAAAACAACACCTACTAAATCACCGGTGTCCAGAATCAGGCCTGTGTCCTGGATGTTTTTGTTGGTGCCCTGATTGAACACACTTGAATCATTCATTGGTTCTTTTACAGGCTACTGCAGAGCTAGGTGACACACTAAGAAAGTAATTCAGCCATCTGAATCATCTATGTTGGAAAGAACATATAAAACCAGCAGTCTGGGCCTTGAGATCAGGAGCTGGACACACCTGTTCCGCATAGTAGCTGCGCCCCCTACATGGCTGGGTGCAGCAGTGCAGGAACTGTGCTGAATGTTTACAAAGCTGCAGCTGCTATTACAGCTGAGGGGCTGGCGGACTCCCACTGTGCACTGGGAAAAAGAAACATCGTCTCCTCAAATGATCTGCTTCCATAGTGAAACCACCAATCATCTGTGCTCCAGACACTAATCACAGCCATCACCTCTCCAACATCAGGGAAGTAAAGAAGCCAGTAAAAGAACAAAACAAGATTTTATCTTCTGCCTCTCTCAGCTGAAGCGCTGTACGGTTTATGAAGAAGCATCTTTCAAACCTTCAACACAAACATATATCTATAAAACTCACGCCATACGTCTAAGAAGCAAGTTTTGAGCAATGCAACGACAAATCAGTCAGTTTTCCCCATCACAGACAGTGAGAGAGAGAGAGAGATCAAGTGGTTAAGGTTGCTGGTGTGTTTTTAACCTCTCATCTTCAGCAGCATTTCTTTGTTGCATGAAAATCGCCTTAGATTTAATGCCTGATATTAACCCATCTGGAGTAAAATGAAGTAAAATCTAAAAACTGTTTTAAAGTTTATTGGAGGAGGCGTGAACATTGCAAAAAACACAGTTTAACTCAGGAATTGTAACTTTCCTCCCTCTTCCAAGATACCGTCTGCAGAGCTGTCTGCCCCCAGTGTTGGGAGGCACATTCCAGGCGGCTAAACGCCCTCCTGGCATATATGCATGGAGGACATTATGGATTACTTTCCATTTAATAACATGTCAAAGTCAAAGTGGATTTGTCCGAGAGTGGGTCCACACAGAGAGGCAGAGCCTGGGGCTGTGGCTGATAGCGCTGCCTTCTGCTTGCCTGGTGGCCAGCGCTGCTGAGCTGGCTGCTGGTTTAAATACAGACACTCTCTGTGGAGAACAATCAGCTGAGCTTCAAAGCAAAGCACAGAGAGCTGCATTGCAAACCTCTGGTTCACATTTAATTCTCATGGTCACATGAAGCAAAGACACTGAGGGCCACTTGATCCAGGGCTGAAGTAATAGCAAACATCATCCTGTTTCAGGAAATAAAGTTATTTAAACAATTCTGATTATGTTTCACATGCGAACAGTTCTTTTTATTAAAGCTTTGGTTTACATTGAGATCACAGCTGGCAGCTGTGATTAAAGTTTCTCTGAATGACGTTTCTGCAGAGCCAGCGAGGAACATCTGCATCTATGCATTACAACAACCAGCTGTGTCATACATTACATCTTACCCAACAGTTCAATTCAAATTATTTTTAGCCAATATATTCATTAATATCCAGTAGTAGTAGCAGTAGTACAGGAAGTAGTAGCGGTAGTAGCAGTAGAAGCAGTAGTAGTAGTAGTTGTAGTAGTATTCATATTTAATTGGATATTTCTTTCCAACGCAGCAGTTGTATGACTGTTAAAAACACAACCACAAGGTGGCGGTAGTGCACCAAATTGCTGCCAACTGCCATAAAAGTTGAACCCAACACCTGAAACCCAAGAAGGCCGTCCTTGTTTTCTTTGGGAAGATCATGAATTGGAAACTAGGGCTGATGGTGAACTACACCAGTGCATTTAGTGACAAAAGGAAAATGAACCATTTCGGAGTTCAGAGTTGAGGAATTTTTACTCGCTTGATAACGACTCAGGTGAGAGGACCATGACCTTGGACGTTATGCCCTTCTTACAGCTGCTGATGTTTGATGAATCCAGGCAAAAGATCCTGAGCTGAAACCACAGAAATGTTCTAAATAACTACCCTTTGATAGAGTTAGACTTTTAGTTTGAAAGGCATCTTTTGCCTTTGGCTTGAGTGCCCTACTTCCTGTTTGGCCTTCAAGTTTCTTTAAGAATGAAAACGCTGATTGCGTAAATGCGCTCAGTTCTTCATCCTTTAAGCTGTGATCCGAGACAACACAGCTGGCAGAATGATCCACTGACTGGGGGCAGCCATGAAAGAACCAGAGACTAACTGGTCGCTATGGTGATTCCCTCTTTCATCACAAGAATTTAGGCCTCAGGCAATTGATCCCTGTTTGTGAAAACTATGAGAAATACCAGAACATTCTTGAATCATGAGTCAGAATCTTCTGGGGTCAAAACATGGACCTTCTCAAGTGACTACGCTTCCTGCAGGAGATCTGACAGCTTAAACAGAACCTACGGGTCCAGTTTCTACAGAACCATTCAGAGGTGAAATCTAGTGGGAATGAATGAGTGTGTGGGCGTGTCTCCTTGCACTCTGGGCTCTGATTGGACAGAAAACCATCCAACAGCAGTGGGAAATACCCTACCTGGAAGGAGACAAACACCTGTGTTTGGATGAAGAACCTGGACATGTGGAGATAAAGCTGTGGCCATGAAAGCAGATTAAATCCAAAAGGTTCTGAATATTTTACAGATTCAGAATTAGAATATTTTAATATTTGATTTGAAATCTAAAAAGATCCTCAAACATAAAGTGTTATAGTTGGAAAAACTTGAAAAGGAACTAGGGCAGGTAGAGTCCAACTTTCTGTGACCCATTTAAAGTTTGAAAGATGGTTCTGAAGGAAAGGATGGCTAACTCAGGACTGGGTTTATCACTGCTAGTTGTTGTCTATAGTCTATGTTTTTATATTCATCATTATAAAAAATGAGGAACACGTTCTGATACTTTCTTCAACATCATGGGTTGAGAACCAGAAATCAAGACAAACTGAAGAACAGCGAGCAAAACGTTCTGCATCATTAAGCCAAGACAGCCCATTTGTTTTATAAGCCAACAGTGGGGTACCGTCCCAAACTCTGGGAGGTCCTGCTTCAGTAGCACCGTGCATCAACAATTAGATGTCTCTTACTGTGTTGTTTCCGTTTCCATTTAAATGTAAACTGCTATCGAAGAGCGGAGAGGATCCCCGACTACGGTCCAGCCCAGGAGAACCTGAGGGGAAAACAAAAACACTGGGGATTATTTGACAGTAATATAATTTACATAACAATAAAGATTTAGTCATAATTTAACTCATTTTTATCACTTATCTTCCTTTAGAAATAAAAGAAAGAACCAGTTTTATTATCCTGACAAAGGAACATATAATGATCGGACCTTGTTCTCCTCAGATGAAGCTCTTTAGGAGAACTTCTTGAACCTCTGCCCTTCACTTTCCTATAAAGAAAGCAACAAACAGAAACCCCGAATGCCAACTCACCAACAAGTTTACTTGTCCTTCTGACCTGCAGCTAATCGCTGAGCGGCGATCAGAAGCAGCTCAGGAGGGTGCTGAGCATCTCCCATTTATCTCAGAAGGAAACTGCTAAAACTTGTTCATGTGACAACCCGGTGAGAAGCCATGCATGCATGGGGAGAACATGGGAACTCCATGCAGAAAGCTGGGAATTGAACCCAGGACCTTCTCACTGCAAGGCAACATTGCTACCAACTGCGCCACCGTCCAGCCCCTTTTTATCGGTCTGAGGTAAGATTGTAATTTCCTGAGAAGCCTTCAAAGTAGCTTATTGTTGACTTTTCATATTAGCTGCATTTTTATATCCTCATTTGGAAGTCGCTTTGGATAAAAACTTTCACTAAATAAATAAACCGAAACAAAGTTAGGATGTCAACTCCATCACTGTGTTGAAGGAATCTATAGAGTTGTATTTTTTATTTCCATCATTCACTTTTTAAAGATATTCTGATTCAATGAGATGCACATTTTTACTACATGAGAACTTGTTGGGCTTTCCCAGTTCCACCTTTATGAGGTACATCCAGAAAAACCATCACCATACCAGTCATTAAAAGCCTTTGCTCAACAGAAGAAACATAAGAATAAAATTCCCTCATCAATTTGTCCCAAAAATAAGTGTGGTGAGATTTTATCTAATTTCTAATCAGTTATTATAGGAAACTTCACACTGCTGATTGTTCTCCTCAACTACCACATTTCATCTGCTCCACCCAAATTTCATAAAACTCAAACTATGGCTTTCGGCAGATTATACCCCTAAACTAAAAGACACAGGAGGAAGAGGAGGAAGGCTCTGCCTTAAACAGGCTTTGTTTCACAAGAAGCACTCAGCTGGGCGAATGAACGACATCATGGGCCGAGGTCGCTCACCTAGAGGCAGTTTTAGGAATGACGGGACTTCTCGCAGGTAACGGACGGTGATGGTGACCTCATTACCTGCAGTACGCAGGAGGTGAACCTGACGGCAGAGACACACAGAGAGACAGTGAGGGATAAATGAAGCTAGTGGCATTCATGTCCAGCTGTACTCTGCCTCAGACGGCGACATGTAGCAGTTTCACTTAAACCATTTAAGGTTTATTCACGGCAGCCATTAAATCTCTGTTAAAAGAGTCCTACAGTTAAACAGAGAAAAGCAAACAGGCTGTGAATGTTACTACAGCACATGCACGCGCTCTGGTTGCTTGAGCATCTGTCAGAGCTGCCTGTGAGACAGGCTGCCATTAACATGTCTAGATTGTGTTCTGAAGAGAAACGTTCATTATGCGTTTTGACACTCGGGAGGTGAACGTAGTGAGAGCAGCTGTTCAGGGCTCCACGAGGAGTGTGGGTGGTAGCGTGAGGGAGCGATGGCTGATGATGAGAAAGATAGTTGACAAAGGAACGAGCATAATGGAGCAAATAAAAGAAAACAGCTGGAGTCCATGCAGAAGCTCCAACATCAGCAGCCAGAACTTCTAACATGAGCTTCCACCAAGAACAACAGGAGCATGACAGCCATGGACTGCTGATGTTTGCTCTAGTTTTCACCAACAGATTTTAATGTCAGTCATGGGCCTGAACGTTTGAAGAATGTATGTGTTCTGTTGTTAACCCAAGGTGGAATGATTGAACATACAGTTAAAATGAGAACCTTTAAGAACCAAAATTAGGTGCACAAGTCTGGGTTGATTGTGGATTTCAGGTTCTAAATGATCCAGAGCCACAGCTAGCCAGCAACAAGCTTCCTGGGTCACCCTGGCTTGATATGTGACCTCTCTTCTTGGTCTGCTTGGTCAAGTTCATTCAAACTGGACGGTTTTCAGCCACAGATCCAGTTTTTAAGCTCAACAGAGCTGAGGTCAGAGCTTTGGGAAACTGAGTCCAGAACCTTAATGTTGGTCGGATTTATCCATTCCAGAACCAGTTTGGGATGATCTGCTGTTTCATCTACCAAGCTGTTGATTTATGGTGAAGAACTTAGAGGTAGTCCTCCTGTATTGCAAAAGTACCATTGGTACTGCAACAAACCCATAGGATAATGCTGCCATCACCATGCTTGACAGTTGGTACAGTGTTCATAGGTTTGAAAACCTCCAAGCAACCTTGTCATTGTGTCCAAACAGCTCAATGTTGTCTTTGTCTTGACCATCAGACTTTTCTCCAGAACAGATTTAAATGTCCACGTGAGCAGATGAAGTTGCGGTCCAGCCTGAAGGAGTGGACTTTGGAGCAGAAGCTTCCTCCTTGGCCAGCAACCTCCCATCCACAGTGGTGTTAAACTGGCGTCACTGTGGACAGTAACACCAGTGTTCCAACACTTTCCAGTTCACAGAAGACTTCCAAGGTTGTTCCTCAACATGCCAACCCATTCCCTTTCTTCTGAGGAGGACAGTTGGGTTGTTCTTCCAGATCTTGGCAAAGTAAGGACACCTCTGAATAACTTCTATAACAAGCAATCTTTGAATTTGCAGATGATTCGATTACTTTCCAAAGTCTATGGCTCCTCTCAGATCTACACTGAGTTCCTTGAAATGTCCCATTGTTCTGAGTGGTGGTCCGTCCAATGAGAGAAGTTAAAGAAATTATTTTTAGGAATCAGCAAACCTTCAACCTTTCAGCAACATCTATCAAACAGTGATGTAAATATGTGTTTATATGTTTGTTTGCATGTGTAGATTAGTTTTATTGATCATTCTGGTGAAGAATAGACTTCTTATCCAAACATAATCAATCTTTATAGTCACCGTAAAATTTGAAACATACTTACAACTTCCTCATGCGTGCAGTGCTCCACCTTAATGCCATTGACCTAAAGGAGAAAACAGATTACAAAGCAGTGACTTATCTGATGGGGTCATGTTGTACTTAGGTTGTTTTGTCTAACAGTTAATATGATGAAATATTTCTGTCTAAGAATCAGAACCGTTTGTTATGTAAACTGCATAGAGACGACATTTGTTGTGACTCAGAAACCGAATGAAATTTATGGATGAAGAAGGTACAAAGCTACAGCTGGAATGATGAACAGCTTGAACTTCAGTCATCATCACACTGACAGCTACATTTGGGTGAACAAATCCATCCACAAAACAACAGTTAAAAGAAAAGACTTTTCAAACGTCATTCTGGTGATGGAATAACCACAGATGAACAGGAAAGAACATTTCCCTCCAAAAAAACACAACCAAACCACATCTAAAGCAACCTGAACAAAATGACTCCACAGACATGCAGAAACGTGCAAAAAACCAACTAGAAGGAAAAGCAGGACACAACAATTATGGACATGATAGACTGCAATAAGTGGACCAATAAAGTCCAGACTGTGCATCATAACCAAACATCTGCTGTGGTCTCATCAATCTGGACATCATTCCAGAAGACTTGTGCTTCATTCAGATGCAGCTTTGCTGTCATATTATATTATATTATATTATAGAGAGAAGAAGCTTCTTCAGCCCCCAAAAGCCTCAGTTTACATGTTTTATCCAACATCTAAACCTAAATATTTAACATGACTGATGTATTCATCTAAAACCCAAGAACTTGGATGTTCGATAACCCGGGTTGTAATATTTCAGTCTGATCTTACAGTGATGTGGAACTAGGCTCACACTTCTAATGATCCTCTGGAGGCTGGTGACGAGGAACCAAACCTGATCTAAAAACTCTTAACGATAAATACATTTACTACTAACCAGCCACTTTATTAGGTACACCTGATCTAATGACCGTAATAAAGAATCAGCCAATCACATGGCAGCATTTTACATTCAGAGCTGCATTAGTTTCTTACTTCTCACTAAGAGTACCTAATAAAGTGGCCAGTGAATGTATCTAGAGCCATCCTCAGGAAGCTCTAGTCGTATGTTAATCTTTTGAAATCTTCAGAAAGGTCTAATTTCTTCATGTTTTTAGGTAAACTGTTGATGAGAGCAATTCTATCACATTTTCATATTAGAAATGATTTAATCAGTTTATTTCTGATTTCTCTGCTCAGAAGCTGCCGAACCGAGCCCCTCCTAATCTGCAAGGCTTGTACGCCGAGGGTTGCAATATTCTGATGTGTGACAGTTCACATACTGTGCAAATAAATTTCTAATATAGCAGACCCAAAGCCACAGGTTGTAGCAGCTCCATTCATATTATAATTCACAATAACTTCCAGCATGAATATTAATATTGCTTTGCTGAATATATTTGATCTTCTAGATAAACAGCTTCAATCAAATAAAAAAGCTGCATATGAACTTAAATGAACATACAAACATTATACACTCACCGGCCACTTTATTAGGTACACCTGTCCAGCTGCTCGTTAACACAAATTTCTAATCAGCCAATCACATGGCAGCAACTCAATGCATTTAGGCATGTAGACGTGGTCCAGATGATCTGCTGCAGTTCAAACCGAGCATCAGAACGGGGAAGAAAGGTGATTTAAGTGACTTTGAACGTGGCATGGTTGTTGGTGCCAGACGGGCTGGTCTGAGTATTTCAGAAACTGCTGATCTA